GTAACCCATGATAGAGTTTTTTGTAATCCATGATTGAATTTTTAATAATCCATGATCGAATTGTTTTTTCTTTTTTGTAATCCACGATGGAATTTTTTGTTTTTTATGTTTTTTTTTTTTGTAATCCATGATCGAATTTTATGTAATCCATGACCGAATTTTTTGTAATCCATGATCGAATTTTTTGTAATCGATGATCGAATTTTTTGTAATCCATGATTGAATTTTTTGAAAATTTGTGATTTTTTTTTTTAATCCATGATCGAATTTTTTTTTGTAATCCATGATAGAATTTTTTGAAAATTTGTGATTTTTTTTTTTTAATCCATGATCAATTTTTTTGAAAATTTGTTAATTTTTTTTTAATCCATATTATTCAAAGAGAAAATGAGAGAGATGATGATTCTGAGGCCACCCTATCCCAACCATATTATTCACATATCGAGTCCCAATAGCAACAGTGTAGGGATGAGCACGACAGTGCAGGTGAGCATGAAGGATGGACAAGCTTCGGGGATTTTTGATTGGGAACACAACAAAACACTAACACTCAGGGTTTTGGGAATAGTCAGACGCCTGCTAATATCGATGATTTGTTTTTAGATAGAATCAATGAATTATTAAACGAATTCAATCAATGGCACTAGCGTGACCAAGAAGAACAATAACGTCATCTATCATTTTATTTTTAGATCATATGTTGCTAATTTTATGCTTTATTGTAGTCCATGTATGTTAATATACTTATTCCATGATAATTCTATGTTTATCCTTTTGTGTGATGTAAATTAAATGCTGAATGGCGGTTCATGCAGGGAAATAACATATCAATATTCGCATATTCATTCAAAAACATGAAAATTCTTAATGGAGTACCCTCATTTCTTATTGAATTCCTAAAAAATAATATTTATAATGAATTTTAATAATTTTTTCGGATTTTTTTGAAGCTTTATTCTGACCAATTCACCCTATTCCCGATCCGGATCGCCGATTCACAGATCCGGATCGGTTTTTTGGGTGCCCAATCCGGGTCACCGATCCGTTTTTTAAACCATTGATTCTAACTAATTTTTTACAACCAACTAATCTGGATTGAGAATCAGCCAGAACCAAATCCTATTGATACCGGCCCGGTGGGTAAGGGGTGTACTAGGTCCGCGCTGCACGTGGCCAACCCACTTAAATCTACTTCCTCTCGTCTTATCGTTTTTTAGAGCCACATCTACGTTCTCTTGAATGTATTCATTTTGAATTATATCGTGTCTTGTCTTGCCACTCATCTATCTCAACATCTTCAATTCACCAGTATTCATCCTATAGGTTTGTTGTTTCTACACATAGAATCAGATTTGATTGGACAAAATGGAGATGTACAACGAGAGTTTTATATATTACAAAATTGATTGAATATAAAAAAAATGAAAAATTTACTTGTAGAAGTAAGATTGCAACAATTGGGCAACAGAAAAAATGATATAAGGCAAGAATAGCCTTGTTTGTAAAAGTAAAGTTGTAGTACTTGAAAATAGGGTTGGGCCATCAGTGGTTAAGAAGGTGGATGCCCCCAATAAAACGTCTCACGCTCCAGTCCCATCATTTGCATATTAAATAGATAAATACTAAATTTTACACCTTTTTTTGAACTTTTCCTCTTATAAGCTAGGAAAAAAGTCTACATAAAGCAAACTTTATACTATTGAAATAAGTCAACCTCAAAAATCCTTTAATAGGGAGTGTTCCAATGTTTCAAGACCCTCCTGTTGATCATCTTGACCTTGAGATGTGTAATATAGAAAAAAAAAAAAAAATCGTCCTACAATTAACATATTTTGTAACAAATTATCTAGACCGTCAGTTTTCAAGAATTTGTAAATGTACATTAATCCGATCGATTTACGCATACATCTCCAAATAAATTTTCGAGTAAATATTAGAGGTACGCCTTATTACAGTATAAAGAGGGCACCTTAGATACCATAAACCGAACCCCTCCATATATTGTGTAACTTGTGAGGGTGTTTGGGGAGAGAGAAAGGCCTACCTAAATATACTCGAACCTTTTGTACGAGAGAGAAAGAAGCAAGGCGACCTTAATTTACTCATGCATCAAATATCAGAGTTGGTTCTCTAGATGTGTCTTCATTCATTTGGAAGGGCATAAAGTTACCAGGTTGTAAGAGAACTTCATTGAATATAAAATTAGCACATTTCACTTTAGCAGTCAAATAAGTTTCAGTCAGCTCTTTGGCAGGAAAGCAAAATATTCCAACTTTTTCATGAAAATAAAGGAAAAGGGAAACATCAGAATTTATGAGAAAATCAATATAAACTTGCTAATTAATTAGAGTTTTACTAAGGTGACTCTAGGATATGCTCCCATGGGAGCAAATAATTATTGCGTTACATGAATCTGGCAGGGTTTTCATTAATTTTGTCTTCTGAAGGAGTAGCACAAACATAAAGGTGGCTATTGTTTCAAAGCCCAAATCAATGCGGTGGTTTATTCACTCCACATATTTGCTTCAGATCTCCGGACTGCTAATCTGGGTTGGTCCAAATAGTTTTGAGAAATAAAAGATTTTTAGGGCTTTGGGAAGATATAAGAAAATATTATATAAATTTTTTTTTAAAAAAAAGAAAGAAAAGGGCAAAAAAAAACATTGAAAGGGGGATTTTATGGGAGGAAGCGGGCTGGTATCGAAACTTTCCCGCAACGTTTCAGTATAGTGAAGGCCGGGGAAGCAAAATGTGTGCAGAATAGTATCAACACGTTCAATGCACAAAGCTAATCCCTGGATCGATCCAGATAGCGAGAGAGAGCAGTGCGCAAATTCAAAAATTACAAAAGAAGAAAAAGCTGAAAAAACGAAAAAGTTTCACAAAAATAAACCACAAATAGCAAAAGAGAAAAGAAAGAAAAGTTTTAAAAGAAGGACCCGGTTTCTATCCGGCAAAGCCTGCATAGGTAGAAATGCGGGCCATTTAATAAATCTATTTTTGAGATGGATTTTAAGACTTAATTTTTAAGGACATGTAAGCTTTATCAGGGAGATCCTGAAATATGAATAAATAAATAAATTTTAAAAACTAAAAATAATAATTCTAATGAAAAAAACATTTAGACCGTTAATTTCCATTGTTTTAGATGGAACACCTACTTGCATCCATCTTTAAGATGGATGCTTTACATGTTATGGATTGCACAAGTAAAAATGTGGTTCATCCCACAAGAAATAATTTTTCTTAAAGAAAAGGGAAAAGGAAAATAATAAAGTTGAAGGAGAAACATAGAAATACGATTCACCCCCATCAAACAACTTTCCTTAAAAAAAAAGAAAAATAATAAAGTAGAAGGAGAAACATAAAAGGATAAAACAAAGAATGGGTTTCTAAAATAAGGAGTGAGCGGATGAAAGCAAAATATAAGTGAAGCATAAATATTGCAAGTGATCAAACAACGAAATCACAGGCAGAAATAAAGAACGAAAAATGAAAAAGAACTAATACGCCAAGTATGCAATTAATACAGTAAATTGGGAAATTATGAATATAATGAGGTATGGGTATTTTAGTTCAGAAAATAATATGGTCCAAGTTAATGCATTAGTAAAAGAGGAGAAACAATCCAAAGCTTTTCGTACAATGTCTTTTTCATTAGTAGGAGACAGAAATGTAACCATACTTTTTTCCACTCAAATCAAAGAAACTCATTTCCAAAGTTTTCTTTAATTATATAATTATAATCTATACAATGAAGAGTTACAGGGAAATTTCAGTAGAGTTAGAACTGCAACAGCAACAAACAATATACCCAGCCATTTCCAACAAGCATACAAACGGCTGAATCATATATAAATTCGTAAACCTCACTCTCTCTGTCGATTTAGAACTGCTGAAATTCCAGCTGATCAATAGGTAAACTATGAAGTATATCATTAATTTCTCTCTCTCTCTCTCTCCTCCCCCCCCCCCTCCCCATGGTGTAAGAAAGAACAGTCCCAGCCCTTCCTCCAACAATAAGCATAATCCGATCTCCACAATCCATCCTTTTACCTATCTTCTGTATAATTACATGAACATCTCCAATCCATTAATCCTGTAATGAATTCAAACCATTCTACCCCAAATCTGATCCACCAACACGATGAAAATGCAGGTTAGCAGAGGCCCGAATTGGGTTTCTCTCAAAACACCTTTGGATCCTTTATTTCGATCAGTTTCAGGGGAAGGAGAAGGAGATGAAGCAGGAGGTTGCATTGGAAGCCCCATATGAGGAGGTGAAATTGAAGGACTTAGACCATGAGAAGAAGAATTCCAGGAGGAGGAGGAAGAAGAAGGTGGAGGAGCGGTTTCGAAAGAAGAAACAGGGCTTATAAATGGAGCATGCAAAGCAGGCTCAGACGGCTTGGGAGCTGGAGAACTCGAAAAAGGAGGAGGAAGAGGAGGCCGAGGAGGATGGTGATGGTGGTGGTGATGATGGTTATGGTGATTAGTATTAGGAGGACTACAAGAAGGGGGTTTTGATAAATGTGGAGGAGAAACAAGGGGAACTTCCCCTAAATTTGGTGGAGGTGCAGGAACAGGGGCCGGAGGAGGAGACCCAAAAATCTCTTTGGGCAAAAGCACTTTAGGAACTGTAAAAATGGCTAATGGCTTCTGATCAAACACAGTTTGGGTAACTGGTGCTATAACAATTCCGCTACTCACTGCTACATTTCCCCTCAATCTAGTGATATTCAGAGTATAAGTGCCAGCCCCGATTTCTTCAGTTGCCAAAGTTGGCTGAACAGGGTTCAAAATAGTTTGAAGAGAACCCAAAGGATAGTAAGAGAGAAGAACATGGTATTTCAGAATCAGAGCCTTCTTATCAGCGGTCAAGCCCTGTAGTGTCTCTGGATTTAAGAGAGAGAAAGCATCATCATCTGGGGCAAAAATGGTGATCCCAGCTCCCACCTCACCTCTCTCAAACTCATACACAACCCCTGAGGCCTCAATCATGGACACAAGGAAGTTGAAGTTTTGGGCCCTCACCAAAACATCAGTGATATTTATAAAGAGAGAAAGTGGGGGTGGTGCAGAGTAGATATCAATCCCATAGGGAATTAGTATTCTATCGATGCTGAATATGCTTATAATGTAGGGGAATTTGTCCACCATACCTGAGATTGAAGCATTAAAACCAGCATTTGGCAATGGCATGCCGATGTGAATCTGGCTATTTGAAGAAGTTATATTCACAGCTCCCATACTGGTTGGGGCTCTTCCTGTTGTCTGATAGAGAGTGGTAACAAGGGTCCCTCGGCTTGTGATCTGAGAGAAACGATCCCAATCTAAGTATTCTAAGAGAACATGGTACCTTAAAATGTCTGATACTTGTTGGGTGGGGAGATTGCCATTGTAACCAGAGATAAAGGGCGCCATGAGAGAGTTAGAGAGAGCTAAAATAGTCAATGAGCTCCTCCCTCCAATTTCCTCTGCAACATTGGTAGCAGTGAGAAGGTTATTGAATGTTGTGTAATCAGGGTGTCTCCAAAAGAAGGATGTAATGTTGAAGGAGGAAGAACCCGAGAACAGTTGCATGAAGAGTAGAGAGAGAAAGTAGCAATTGATGACATGGTGGCAGGTTCTCTGGGCCATTTCCTTCAGCAGTCTTTGCCCTTTATGTGTCTTTGAGTTTCTTTAAGATGGGTAGAGAGAGTGAGAGGGGAGGGGAGGTGCGGAGGAGAGAGGAAAGGTGTTGCAGAAAACCCTAAAAAGAAGTTGTGGGGGTGGACTGGATCCTTTGTGCACTGTGTGTATGAATGAGAGGGGGGATGAGAGAGAAAGTAAAAGGGTTTTGTTGCAGGTATGGTGGGGGCCAAAGAGGGGTGGTAGAATAATACTGGTGGCGCGCCTAAAGCGCGGAGCACGAGAGATGGAAGGGACTATAGTTTTTCATTTTCAGTTTTCCCTTTATGGGAATTTTCACTTCTTTTGGGGTAAGTATATATTGGGTTGTTCCTACAGAGAGATATGGAAACAACACTGCTAGAGAGAGAGAGAGATGGAGTTCCTATTGGGCTTTCAACGGTCATGCTTGTGCAGGTATAACGGTCAAAAATACGAGGGCTGTGGCAGATGAATCTATCTATCGATGAAGGGCAGAGACTGGCAGGTTCTGGTCAAGAGAGAGGGACCCATGTATCACTCTCTCTCTAGACTCCATACTCTCTAAACTCTCTCACTCTCTCTAGAGACGTCCTCCCTTTGCTCGTCAACTATGTATGTTTTTACACACTTCCTGAGTTCTCTCTCTTAACTCGTGATTTGCTTTCATTCGATCGCTTGATTGATGGTGTGGGGGGGTAGGGTCATTCTTCCTTGCTCGAAATCCTTTTGTTCCTCTTTTCTCTTCTCTTTGCTTGGGTGCCAAGACATGTTATGTTATGCTTGAGTAAAAGATGGAAATTAATAATGGCAGTATGGTGCACTAGTTATGCATTTCATGCGAGACAATCAAATACCGTACAGGGAATGTAGCGAGAAGCAACAAAACACTCAGGCGAGTTGTGTGTGGAAGGCTCGAAGCCAATCCGTGCTAAACGAGATTAAATGTGGCAAGACAAGGAAACTAATACAAGGGACTAACAATTAATAATTTCCTAGACTATATTTACAAGATAAATTTTTTAAATTTTTAGTTTTTCTAACCTTTAAACCTCACTCTCAAGAAATTGGAGAGCCTGTGTTCAAACTTGAAACATTAGTCTTTTCAAGTGCATTGAGAGTGAGATTTGGACCTTTTTTTAAAAGGTAATCTATAGATTGAAGAGGTTTACCCTGACGGACGGAGTAAACAGACATTATGCTCCAATAAGGTCTTTTGGCAAATTATAACTAAAAAAGAATTTGCAACGGTAAAAACATAGAATTAAGGTGAATCTTAAATATCTATAGAAAAACGTTGTTTTTATGTTGGAAAACCATCTAATTGAACCTCTCGATATAAAGATGTATGAATATGGAAAAAATAATAATTTTGAGTCTAAAAAATAATGCATCTTACAACAAATTGTCTAGACCGTCTATTTTCAAGATTTTTCAATATTTTAATGTATTTATAGATCTACTTGATTTTAACTAATTTTTTAATTTTAAAATTTTATAATTAATTGTAAAATCTGATTTTTAAGCTATACACTTTTAACACCAAAATTATATCTTATAATTAAATTTAGAGGTGCGACTTTATTTGATTGATTAAGCTTGCGACGCTGTCCAAACCACAAACGTAACCAAAATCTATGAAAAGGCAGACAGGGGGAACGTTCAGCGCATGCTCGAGTGTACATCCATCCCCTTCTGAGGGAGAGCACGAGATAGAGCCCAATCGTTGGCTAGTAAACCTAGAGAGAGAGAGTGCGTTCCCTATTGCGTAATCCCTAGAGAGAGAATTTGGGCCCAGGTGCATGTGCCACAAATGAAGGGAAAGTCTTGTGTTCACATACGAAATAAGCGACTGGAGAGATAAGTATCTTCGCGTCTATTTGCTACAAATGCCATCTGTCTCGTTTCTTCATCGACCGTTGATTTTATTTGATTACTCGTTGCAAGTCTTCTTCCGGAAGTCGCTTTTGTATGCTTATAATTGGGGTGAATTTCAACGTTCCAACGGCTGTTTAAAAGAAATAAAAATAAATAAATATTTTCACGATTGCCCAAAAACTTATGTGTTCCTACACGAGCATCTGTTCATTTACTCCAACGGGTAATTGGATTAGGGGTGGCAACGGACCTAACCCGAAACTGTATGATGCTAATGACCCAGCCGAATAATATTAGACCACCAAAAAATATAAAAAAAGGTGTCTAGGTTTGGGGGTTGGTCGGTGGACTTGGAAGAGAGTGAGAGAGAGGTCAAAGAGAGGCATAGCAGAGGAGCAAAGCTTGGGCGTTGGGGTTTTCACCATTTCGATGGTATGAAGATGAATTTTAGGGATAAGGGATTTAGGGTATGGATAAAGATGGGTAAATTGAGTAGGGCTTAAGCTTAGTGAATTAATCATAATTTCAGTTTATTAGTTAATATTTCATTTAGTTAATAACTTTTTAAATCAATTAGTAACTTATCAATGAACGATCATTATTTAATATGAATCAAAATATAAAATTCATATATTATTAATTCTAATTAATATATAATAAATTTGGGTTCGACCAAGGTCTCAAGTTTGGTTCAGGACCATTGACATGCCTGACCAGATATTTTAGAAATTGTTAGTGGTTTTAAAATGTGTAAGATGGAAATGAAAATCTAGACCAATAGTTGAGAAAATCTAGACCAATAGTTGAGACTCAGGCGGTTCTACCACGACCTCAACCCTTGTAACATCCAATATCCAATATTTGATCAAATGCTATCTAGCTTTTGGAGGGTCAAATTCCAGTTTTGAAAAATTCAACATCTAAATTTATTTTAGAAACAGTCGTAGGTGATTCATTAAAAGGATACAAATTTTCAAATAAAAAAAGTTTCCTAAACACTTTCACCCAAGATAGTAAGTGCACAGCATGCTCCAGCCAGAGCATGTACACGTGCTCCGCCTTCCACTCGTACATTATTTTTTTTCCACTCTAATAAAACTTCTCAAGTATTAATTATCATTCCAACCCAAAAAATCAAACCACAATCGGAAACATGCCAAAAGGCGGGTCCGAGCAACCAAATAACCGATAAACCGGTCAGTTCAACCGGCTAAACGGACAAAAAGTGTTAAAAAATATATAAAAAAATCTTAAAAAATATGAAAATCATGGTTTAAGCATAATTAAACAAAATGCATCCAAATGAAACTAAAAAAAAAACTGGAATTTAAAAAATAAATTTGTGCCAAATGATATTTTAGAAATAATCTAAAAAAATGTAAAAATAAGTATTCGCAGCCAAAATACTTTCCAATCTTTACCAAAATGAAAAAAACATTAAAAAACACATTAGAAACAATTTTTTTATCTTTTAGGATTTTATATATTTTTATTTTATTTTCTGAATACACGGCCGAATCATCTAAAGTGGTCAATACCAGATCAACCAATGCCCGGTTCCGATTTAGCCTGCTGGTTCCAAGTTGGACCAGCCGACTCTGCAACCATTGATTCCGACGGTTAGTAATTTTTCCTCACGCTTAACCATGAACGCATTCCTTAGGAAATGTACCACCAAAGGGTTATTAATTTCTTGCATATGCTGTCGTATAGTGATTGTTTTGCAACAATAAATGATTGTTCAAAGGGTCAAGATTGGAGAAGAATATCTACTCCCTGGTGTTCTATGAGATGATATAACTGTCAAACAAAAAAAAAAAAAAACCGAGAGAGGGAGAAATGTACTGCAAAAGTAACTAACAAACAAAAGACGGTACACGTTTTGTGTTGGCTACGCTTAAAAAGAACCGTCCAAAATCAATGCCTTTCACTACATACGGGAAAAGCAAATCGACTCGATTTTGCTACACATGTTGGGGGAAGGGATTTCACTTGCTCAGGCATGCACTTCGGGACTCGGACACACTCTCTCTCTCACCCTCCTTTTCTTAGTTTTCTCTCTCCTTCTCGATTTTTTTTAATTTTTTAATCTCTCTTCCCGTTCCTTATTTCTTTAATTATTGAATCATGGTGAGGTTTGTATAAAGTTGCCTCTTTAATTTTTTAATCTCTCTTCCCGTTCCTAATTTCTTTAATTATTGAATCATGGTGAGGTTTGTATAAAGTTGCCTCTTTATATTGTAGAAGTCAGGTGCACCTATAGAATTTATTTATAGATGCCGTTTCAGTGTCATAAATCTTATGATGACTTCAAAATCTCTTTTAATCTTCAGTTACATAATTTAAAATTAAAAAAATAGTACAGATGGAGGAAATCAATAAACACTTGAAAATCTTGAAAACTGACAGTCCAAATGACTTTTTACCGAATGTATTATTTTTTGAACTTTAAATTCTTTTTTTTTCTTCATAGCCATTCGTCTCAAGGTCGAGATGATCAGTTGGAGGGTTTTCCTATGTGGAAACACTCTCCCTTATAGGATTTTTGAGATGCACCTTTCCTCAACAGTATAAGGTTGCGACCTTATACAAACCTTTTCCTTGAATCATTCCCACCGGTTTCTTCGGCTATGCACATGACATTAAATTGAGGGATTTTTAGGAAGCAAAGTGGCCTTCAGTCTACCAAGGAGTACCACACTTGTACACTTAGGATGCCTTTCCCCATGTGATATGGTTGAATAATGAACCTGCCATTATAACGGGCCTGAACTATGCATGATTAACATAAGTTTCAGCACGCAATTTGCCCCAAAATCGTACACTATGCATATAAACTACGATGGAAAATCATGTTACATCTTAAAACTTGCTTAAAAAAGACACGCGTTGAACACTTTAGAGTCCAACATTTAAGTGCAAATTAATAATTTTAAACTACTATTACTGTTATGTGTCCGACCTTGATTCTCTAAACTTATTTTTTAGGATGGACAATGTTGAATTTTTAACTTGCATTGCCTTGATTCTTTTTTTTGACAAATTGCATTGCCTTGATTTTCTAACTCTATTTGTGGGATGCATACACTCAACAACTGCACCGAAATATTATATAAGGAAAAATTTTAACCTTTGGGTTACTAAAAGTCGTTGAAATACTGTCCCTCCATGGCCTCACAGTTTACATGAGGTTAAGAATATAATTTTTAGAGCCAAAATAAAGGTTTGAGTGATTATCGGTTGATGTCAATAATGCTACATCTTAAGTTTAATTCCTCATGCTTAACTACCCCACACATATACATACATATATAAAAGGTACATGGTCTCATTGTATACTCTTCCATATATATATATATATATAAACTTTTATAATATAATGAAACTACACTTCTAAAAAAACGATAACGATGTTTTTGACATTTGTGGCCCCAAAACATGCACAAACCTTCTAATTATCAATCCTCACAAAAATAAAATTCAATATGCACCCTAGGTCAAAATGAGCCATCTCCAACAATGAATCCAAACTAGTCATTAGATAAATTTCAAGATCTAAGCCTTGCAAATTTAAAATGATTTTTTTAAAAAAAAAAAATATTCATCTAACGATAATAAAGCCATCTAAAGAAGTTAGAAGAAAAAAAAAATCCTTCTAAAACCTAACTCTAAACATCTTATCAAAATTGAGGACCTATGTTAATTGAGCTAAAAAAACACTTTCTAGGTTATGTTTTCAAATTCTTCTTTATGTGATTGTTCATTGGAATGAAATGAGTGTATGTTTAAAAATTGGAGTCAAACAAATAGCCTTAACATAATTTTTGAAGATCATTTTATTATATAATACAATCGTTAGGAATCACTTAGTAATTAACACTAGTAAAATTGCATCTCAAATTTAATTCATACCATTGACCTACCAAAAAATAAAAGAGTGCGAGGAAATGGCTCAAGGATAAATGATAAGGGTGTAAGGCAATAAAACTTGATGTCTTGAGTTCCTTAGATATAGAACCCTATCCCCCCTGACTTACCCAAAAAGAAAAGGGGAATGATTTCATGCAACATGTAGAAGACTAATGGTAAGAATACCCCATCCCCATTTAACTAAAAAAAAAAAAGGGGAAGATAAAAAGATGATATGCACTACTGAGTTTCATGCGTACAGCTATCAAAAATTCAATGACGTACGAGTACAAACACTCGCCACCCGAGACTTCGACCCTAATTTGATAAAATCTTGCTATTTAGTCTTAATGAAGAAACAAGGGTTTTTCTATGTTTTAGGGAAATTAATCGCAATTATATTAATTTTAGAATGTGACCATACAGGGAATATATAATGAATAAAACTCCGATTCCTGAGCAAGACCATGGTGGACATATTCTTGGGTAATTATGGTGGACACAAACTAAAAGGAAAAGGGAATAATGCGTCATGATGGGAAACACTTGAAAACGGGCTTTATCCCCACTAAGACACAAGGAAACTACCAAACCCTCTTTTTTGCCTTTAATCATCTGACAATCTCATTGCAAATTATTCAGCTCGAAGGGGAAGGTAAAAGCCCACATAAAGCACCTACTGAGAGGAACGAACAAAGTGCACATAGTATTTACAAGAAAGAAACTAAAGCTGAAAATCATGTATTCTATGGAGCACGCAATTAGTGACACAAATAAGCAACATCATTACTGATCATCATTGTTAGAACTTTTTTCCAATTAATTGGGAGGACAAGCTTTCTATGCTTCCTCAAAACTTTTATAATTCCCCTTATCCAGCTGTCCATTCTAAATTGAGGGCTAAGATTGTCCCAATCACAATGTCACGTTTCTATACTATTTTTTTTCATTTTTTTTCTATAAACTATTGACACCAAATTATATACATCCAATCCTCTATTAAACTTGCACCAGCAAAAAATATATAAAATAAAATATTTCTAATAAAATAAAATGATCAAAATACCCTTAAAAGTTTCAAAGGGTATTTTGATCATTATATTTTATCAAAAAATTATTTCTAATATTTTTTATTGATACACCCCAATGAGAAGATAACACGTACCAAATTTCATATTCATACAATTTGTATAAAAAAACTAAAAATAAAATACTTTGAGACGTCAGATCTAAGATCAAACGGTGAGTGGCTCTCTTGATCAAAATTGAAATATAGAAACCTTTCCCATAGAAATAAGAAACAAGAACTGCACATTCTACCTAGAGAAAGAACGAATTGGGAATGTAAGTAATTTTCCCACAGGCCATTGAAACATTGTAACTAAAACATGCGCTATTAAATGGAGGCACATTTCCAGTAGCATGTGGGAGCTAGCATTGGTGGAAAGTCCTCTAAACTAAACTAGTTTTTCCATGACAAATATGAATTCTCATATCCCAATGCTAATAAACGACACAAAACACTCACCCACACTCTTCCTTAGCATCAATCTTTTGCATCTGCAATGCCACCAGGAGTTATCTGAAATACGTGCTTTAGTCAAGGCAAATTAACAACGAAGATTAGGGATTAACACTTTGCTAATAAAGTTAGGAAGCTCGAATGGAACCATCGAGGAAAATGCCCACAGTAAACTCAAAGGACAGAAAAAGCCAAGAGAGAAAAGCAAAAAACTATAATAATAAAACATAAAAAAACTAAAAATCAAAAGAAAGGAAAATTTTGAAACTTTACCTGCCTGTGACATTTGATTATACCTACCATCTACCATCGTCTTTTAATTGGGACCACTTCCCTTTTACATATAAAGGTCAAAAGCCATCAAATATGAAATCTAGTGCTGAGAGCGCACCTTTAAAACTTTTGTCAATTTGTGCAGATACATGATGCACCCCAGCCATCCAATTTTACATTGCACAGCAGGGTGACCTTCGATGTATCAAAACTAGCAATCTCATTGTATGCTACCATTTTCTGTTTTCTTATAATTAAACCAGCAAATGTCGTCATCATAATAAATAAGTTTGCAATAACTTATGCTTAATTCTATCGCATCGAGTTACTGTATCTTGGGCTTGATGTACATGTTAGTTCAAATTAATATAACCGGTAGATTTCCCATACAGAATCAAGATAACTGAGCCAAAAAGTGTTATCATGTACGATGCACAAGGTTATTTACCATACACCATATCACTTGGTAGTGTAGCATTTAGCATTCAGCAGAGGTGTATGGTACGATTTTCGCCTGCCACGACAAAAATTTAACCAAGTTTTGTTCCAAAACCCAAACTTCAAAGGATTCTGGTAAGAACTTGTCAATGATATTCTCCTATTTCCTTTGTGTTTTTGTTTAAGCAAGTATTTAAGGAGGTGTGAAAGGATATTGCCTCAGCTTCAGGTAAGTTTGGAGCATCGAAGACCTTGCAAACACGCTGCTCGCCTTTGCCTTTCCTGAACATGAGCCTTATTGTGGCCGCATGAGCCAAAACATGTCCACCTGCTGGTTTCTTTGGATCCGAAATGAATACACCACCTCCAGGATCCGCAATTACTGCACCACAAAGCAAAACACAAAGAATATTGTTTATAAATGCGTACTGTTTGGGTGGAATGTCAACTGAACAAGGTGGAAATGATTACGGCCCATGTTACATGGCATAAAAGGGTATTCTTGTAGATGTACATATAAGTTATATGCTTAAGGGTACAGTTGGCATACGGATGCATCCGTAGCTGTAGAGGTAAGGTGCACCTTCAAATTTTATCGTGGTATATAAATTTGATGTAAAATGTTCTTAGGATTATCTCAAAATCTATTTTTATATCTAATTATAAAATTTTAAATTTAAAAAATGGTTAAAATCACGTAGATCTATAAACATATGACAATATTGAAAATGGACAATGTAGATAATATGTTGTAAAATGCACTATTTCTGAGACTTAAAATCTTTTTATTTTTCATGGTCATACATCTTGATGTTGAGATGATCAATGTTTTTCAACATTAAAACTATCTTTTCCGATGGATTTTTGAGGTGCATCCGTAGCTGTAGAGGTAAGGTTGCAACCTTATATAAATTTTTTCCTACGCTTAATGGCGCCTAAAATATTGGTCCAAAAAAAAAAAATGACTCCTAGGAACAAATATTTTATTGTCAAAAGATATTATACTCTCATGGGATAGTAATGACCATTTACTCCCCTCACGCAAAACCCACCTAGATTTAATTTTACGTAGGGCTGGCTACATGCAGGCCTAACCACATAAAATTAAAGAAAAAGAAAAGAAAAAATATAAAAAAGGGGGCCTGGGACAGAAAAAAACAAAAAAATATTCTCTCAAAAAAAAAAAAGGCCGGCTGGGCCAAAGATAGTTTTAATGTTGAAACCAAAAAAACCAAAGAAACCAAAGAATAAAGATGAAACCACATATGCCCGAACATAACAATGTTTTGAAAAGTTTCACAGAAAGCGTAACTGTATTGCAGAAATGACGATTTGCACCCTAGGAATGAAGATCTCCAAGTAAATAAAGAGCCAAATTTATACTATCTCAATGTAGGTTTACTTAACAAGGTTGAATGTTTAGGGTTCTTCAAAATGACCACGGTGTTGTGGTAATTTTTCATAGCAAATTACCAAACAGTTTGCAATTGAAACTTCCAGTTTCAGACTTTCAGCCATCAGAAAATTAAAAGGACTGCATAGCTAAAATAGAAACTTAAAAGTAAAACTGGATAGCAAAGGGTCCGTGTAGAGAAATTCTCTCATTTTTCAGCTTACCCAACTTCAAGCATGCCTGCGTGTGTGTGTGTGTGAGAGAGAGAGAATCACAGAATTTTTTATTTTCTTGTCATGAAAGAATTCAATTTCTGTTAGAAAATGTTTTACCTTGGTTAGTCATGTAGACGGCGACATTGAACTCCTCGGCAATTTTAATTAGGCGGGACAGCATTTGAGCCAGTTTTTGCTGTACAGTTTCCAAGAGTGAAAGGTCATCCACAGGCCACTAGAAGCATGAGGTCACAAGCTAAGCAAATAAAAAACCACACATTCAGTGCTAATACTTGATTGCGAAAAATAATTAGGCGGGAAAGCATTTGAGCCAGTTTTTGCTGCACAGTTTCCACGAGTGAAAAGTCATTCACAGGCCACTAGAAGCATGAGGTCCCAAACTAAGCAAATAAAAAACCACACATTCAGTGCTAACACTTGATTGCGAAAAATACCCCACATGATATTTAAGTTGGAAATACCGTCTCTTTTCATTTAACAAGTGCAATTATCATTAACTCAGAGGGATATCCATTAAGGACTTAGAAGTTGAAAACAATTAGGATCCACGTTAGTAGCTAACCTGACGCTCTGCAAGCTCGCCTCGGCCCGTGAAATCCACACGAAACAATGCAATAACCGAGTCCACAATCTGAAATTATCAAAGGATGTACACCCAATAATGTCCGATAGGTGTATCGAATGTGGCGAAATGGTAAAACACTACTTTTTAAAATCATCGTCATCCGCATAACCTTTTTCCAACTATTTAGAATCCGCTAGACGAGTCCTAGTTAAAATGCTACTCTTTAAAATGTTAAATAATTTCATCCTAACGTTTAACTTTGGGATTAAAACTCATATGGTTTTGATCATTTATGGACTAGAATACCATAGTTGCCGTTCTTAAGGAAGGAAAACAGGCTCAAGTTCCACTTCAAGCTTTTGCCATCCATAATACCTCGTGATTTCCCTTGTTTAGGTCTTTTATGGGGTTGTCAGGACGAGGGCAGAGATAGAGAGAGAGAGAGCGAAGAGAGAGATAAAAATCACCAGCAATCGAAACGGTTCTTCAGCCATTTTGGCGGCAAGGCCAAGAAGCAAATTGTACTGGTGCTCGTACGTGTAGGCACGTGCATAAATGATCTGCATTTCCACCACAGTTGTCAAATTACATCACACAACCAATACAGCAAGAGAGAGCGGATATGTCCAATAATATCCCAGTCAATCTTGGGGAAACTATACCACACAGTGGGGGTGTAAGCTAAAAGACATCCATCACCCCGTCACTTAAACCGAAGGTGGAGATGAACAGTTTCTCTATATTCTAGTTGGTATGCAATACACAGGACACGGTTTCTCAATACTCTAGTTGGTATGCAATACACATAGGACACGGTTTCTATGAGTCCATGTAGAAACGAGTCGACTTTTAAAAATCTATTTTTGAGGTGGATTTTTTAACTCAATTTTTAAAGACAATCTCTAACATGAAAATCAAGAATATAAAAGATAAATAAATTTTAAGAAAAAAAAATACTGATTCTATAAAGAAAACATTTGAACTTTTAGTTTTAATTGTTTTTAGCTTGACCATCTATTTACATCCATTTTAAAGATGGATGCTTTATACCTTGGGACTGCATGTTGTAGAAACACAGCCCAGCCCGCATGCAACAATTTTCCATATATATATGACATTAAGTGTGATGCATTTGAGCGTTAAATGGGTAGATCAAGAGGACCCCGAAGCAATACACAGTTTGGGGCAGATCCGGTATAAAAATAAGATGCATATACTCGTGCGATTTGTGTAAGGTGCCCACCTTATATAAGTAAAGCACACATCTAAGCTTTGCCGAAAGATACACTTTCGGTGTTGGAAACCTCTAGATGGCCTTAAGATTCATATAAGTTTTTAAAAATAAAACTTCATAAATCTATAAATACTTTAAAATCTTGAAAATGGAACAGATACTTGCTACAAAATACATTATTTTTAATATTTAAATAAATTATTATTTTTTGCATATATATGTATCCATATATCTCGAAATAGAGATGATCAATGAGAAGGTTTCCAACGTCAAAACATCCATTTCTACCGGATATTTGAAATGCACTTTATAAAGTACAAAGTTTTCCCATATATATACAAGTCCAGTTGACCATGACCTCGTCTTTATAGACCCAGCCCGCCAGTTCTACCTAACAAGACCTGGTGGACTGGACACATGGATAACACCCTCGTCCATCTAGACCCAAGCCGCCATATCTACATAACAAGACGTGGTTGACTCTACACATTGGTAAGAATCCCGTGCCATGTGGTTTTGCCTATTAAATTATATAAAAAAAGAGAAAATTTTAATCCCATTTCATCATCTTATTTCATATAAACCTTCTTTCTTCTTTTTTTTTTTTTACGGTATAAAAAAATCTCTAAAAATTTTACCATACACCATCATTTTTTATCTCTCTATTTTATTGGCTTTTGACCATAAAAATTAATTTCAATAAATCTTTTTATACAATTTCATCTCAAAATAATTTTTAACCTTATTTTTCCCTTTCCACTAATTAAAAAAAGCTTTTAAGTTGAAATGGTATAAAAAAAAATTTTGAAACTAATTTTTATAATAAAAAAGTCAATAAAAAAATAAAAAATAAACAATAATGAGATATGATAAAATCTTTAAAAGTTTTCTCACAAGGCTTGAAAGAAAACGAAATGATGATCTACCAAATAATACGAGAACTAACGTCCTATACAAAATTTTCTCTAAAAAAAACTTCCCCAAAAAGGAAAATCAATGCAAGAACCCAAGAAATCAATAACAAGTGATTGCGGAGATCGATGGTTCTGCTTTGGAATTTAGGGGAAGTGTACGGTGATGTTCGATACGTAATTTGAAAATATGAAAGGCATAATTTGAAAAATAAGAAAATAATGGTTCTTGGTTACATTTTACAGCGAATGAAAGCCAATATGGCATTCAAAAAAAATATTATTTGAGCGAAGTTAGCAAGTCTCACGTTGTCCAGGACGGCATTAGGGTCCATTCCGAACCTCTCCGCGATGGGCACGATGCGGTCGGGACGGCTGTAAATAAAGTAAGGAGGGTGAAGGACAACGGTGCAACATGTGAATTGCCTCTCTCTCAAGGTGCCCCGTGATTTGCCTATTTCTAGTGCCATAAAGGTCCTCTCTCTCTCTCTCTCTC